TGGGCCGAAGGTTCACCTTCCAACAAGACAATGACCCTAAGCACACAGCTAAAATAACCAAGGAGTGGCTTTGGAACAACTCTGTGACCATTCTTGACTGGCCCAGCCAGAGACCTGACCTAAACCCAATTGAGCATCTCTGGAGAGACCTGAAAATGGCTGTCCACCAACATTCACCATCCAACCTGACGGAACTGGAGAGGATCTGCAAGGAAGAATGGCAGAGGATCCCCAAATCCAGGTGTGAAAAACTTGTTGCATCATTCCCAAGAAGACTCATGGCTGTACTAGCTCAAAAGGGTGCTTCTACTCAATACTGAGCAAAGGGTCTGAATACTTATGACCATGTGATATTTCAGTTTTTCTTTTTTATTAAAATTTGCAAAAAATTCTACATTTCTGTTTTTTCTGTCAAGATGGGGTGCTGAGTGTACATTAATGAGAAATAAAATGAACTTTTTTGATTTTAGCAAATGGCTGCAATTAAACAAAGAGTGACAAATTATTTTCTGTACCCACTGTATATATACCCAGGACACCAGGTGGCACCTAGTGAATGGCGTTGCTCCAAAGATACATAAGTTCTTTATCTGCTACAAACAAACACTAAAACTGTGTCCTGCACAGTTGACATGAGGTGTGGACATATGTTATTCATGACCTCACAGATGGAGGTGGAGTCTCCTGTGTGTGGAGAAGTTCATTGGGAAACCTATAGGAAGTGTGTGTGTTTGAATGGGCTCAGCTGAACAAACAGTAAAATGTTAAAACCATTCCTGAATGTGTGAGCTGACTCCAAATCAGATACATCTCGACACTGTTAGACCTCACACCACACACTGAAGCAGGAACACTGTGACCTGCAGACAGCAGCCTCACACCAGACGCTGATGAATAATTGAAGTCAAAGAGGGTGGGCCAAACCACTGTGAATTGTTAGTTAAATTGGATGAAAAATGAAATGTCCCAGCTGTTCTAATTCTGCAACCCTTAGTGATTGAGCTCAGTGAATTAAATCAGTTTCTTAGTAAGACATTTTAGATTGTTGTTGTGTTTTACTGATGTTTTACTGTCACAAACAAGAAAGAACGCACTACTACTCAGTGTCCATGACAGAAATTATTTTATAACATAAGTTTATGAAGTCCATGAAGTCATACTTGGGGAGGGAAAGGTACTTCTTAGAATTCTACACAGCATGCTGAACCATTGGGTTGCTGGTAGTCCTGGTACTGCACCTAGCTGTGTTACTTCCTCCCATTAATTCTTGTCTTTTCTTTGGAAAATAAAAACACAATTTCTTTGTAGGATCTCTACTTCCTAGTACTACCAACTGTAGTGAAAACATACCTTGTTCTGGTAGTTTTATATTTATATGTAATACTGGTACTACCCTGGTTCAACATAATAATACATTTTATTTCATAGGCGCCTTTCTGTCACCCAATGACACCTTACAGTGAATACAAAGATAACAACACAGCAATAAAAAACAATCATTTATTTAAAAATAATAAAACACTAAGAACACGTTAAAATACAACAGTGAAATATCAGATGGAGAAGACAATTTTAAACAGATGCGTTTTAAGTGCAGACTTGAATTGTGGGAGTGAATTGATGTTCCTCAAGACGGGGGATAGAGAGTTCCAGAGCTGGGGAGCAGAGCAACTGAAAGCTCTGTACCCCATGGTGGTGAGACGTGCGGAGGGGACAGTCAGATGAATGGAGAAGGACGATCTGAGGAAGCGGGAGGGAACAGCGACATGAAGAAGATCTGAGATGTATGGTGGAGCAGAGTTGTGGATGGCCTTGAGTGTGAGCAGAAGGGTCTTATAGTTAATATGGAACTTGATCGGGAGCCAGTGAAGCTGTTGCAGGACGGGAGTGATGTTGTGCATGAAAGGGGTTCTGGACCAGTTGGAGCTTATGAAGAGACTTATGGGTGAGACCAAAGAGGAGGGAGTTGCAGTAGTCAAGGCGGGAGGTGACAAGGCTGTGAACCAGGATGGAAGTGGTATGGGGAGTGAGGGACGGGCACAGGTGATTGATATTGCGTAAGTGGAAATAGGTGGATCGGGTGACGTTGTTGATATAAGATTGAAAAGATAGTGTACTGTCGAGGATGACACCCAGACTCTTAACCTGTTGGCAGGGTGAAATGGAGCAATTGTCAATATCAAAAGAGAAACTGTTGGTAGTAACATAGTAACACAGTTAGTAACACCACTGTAGATCCTACGTTAAAACAAACTACTGTTATGTGGAGGTGAAGCAACAGAAACAGCGAAGGTGGAAGAGACGATAGAGCACAGATTCAAGAGACGAGGCTGACAGACAGGCAGAGGAGAGGGAGGAGAACGGAGGTGTTGTCAAAGAGGTGGCCACGGAGGGAGAGATTCAGACAAGGTGAATTAAACATCCACAGCCTACAGTGCTGAGGACTACGGAGATCTGATATGGTTTTATACACACAAACAAGGACACACTACATACATTTACACCCGTGAACCTTACAATTAGTTCCTACTGTACTGTTTTTTAGTTTCTACTGTAGTGTTTTTTAGTTCCTACCGTAGTGTTTTTATTTCCTATTGTAGTGCTTTTAGTTCCTACTGTAGTTTTTTATTTCCTATTGTAGTGCTTTTAGTTCCTACTGTAGTTTTTTAGTTCCTACGGTAGTGGTTTTTAATTCCTACTGTAGTGTTTTTACTTCCTACTGTAGTGTTTTTAGTTCCTACTTTAGGGTTTTTAGTTCCTACTGTAGTGGTTTTTAGTTCCTACTGTACTGTTTTTTAGTTTCTACTGTAGTTTTTTTAGTTCCTAGTGTAGTGTTGTTAGTTTCTACTGTAGTGTTTTTATTTCCTATTGTAGTGCTTTTAGTTCCTACTGTACTGTTTTTTAGTTTCTACTCTAGTTTTTTTTTGCATATTGTAGTGTTTTTAGTTCCTACTGTAGTGTTTTTAGTTCCTACTGTACTGTTTTTTAGTTTCTACTCTAGTTTTTTTTTGTATATTGTAGTGTTTTTAGTTCCTACTGTACTGTTTTTTAGTTTCTACTCTAGTTTTTTATTGCATATTGTAGTGTTTTTAGTTGCTACTGTAGTGGTTTTTAGTTCCTACTGTAGTGTTTTTAGTTCCTACTGCAGTGGTTTTTAGTTCCTACTGTAGTGTTTTTTATTTCATAGTATAGTGTTTTTATTTCCTACAGTAGGAAATAAAAACACTATACTATGAAATAAAAAACACTACAGTAGGAACTAAAAGCACTACAATAGGAAATAAAAACACTACAGTAGTGTTTTTATTTCCTGCTTTAGTTTTTTTTAGTTCCTACTGTAGTTTTTTAGTTCCTATTGCAGTGGTTTTAGTTCCTACTGTAGTGTTTTTATTTCATATTGTAGTGTTTTTAGTTCCTACTGTAGTTTCTATTTCATATTGTCGTGTTTTTGGTTCCTACTGTAGTTTTCTTAGTTCCTACTGTAGTGGTTTTTAGTTCATACTGTAGTGGTTTTTAGTTCATACTGTAGTGGTTTTAGTTCCTACTGTAGTGTTTTTA